ACTCACTTATAACATGGTATGTACTCACTTATAACATGGTACATACTCACTTATAACATGGTATGTACTCACTTATAACATGGTACATACTTATAACATGGTACATACTCACTTATAACATGGTACATACTCACTTATAACGTGGTATGTACCCACTTGTAACATGGTACATACTCACTTATAACATGGTATGTACTCACTTATAACATGGTATGTACTCACTTATAACATGGTACATACTTATAACATGGTACATACTCACTTATAACATGGTACATACTCACTTATAACATGGTATGTACTCACTTACAACATGGTATGTACCCACTTGTAACATGGTACATACTCACTTATAACATGGTATGTACTCACTTATAACATGGTACATACTCACTTATAACATGGTATGTACTCACTTATAACATGGTACATACTCACTTATAACATGGTACATACTCACAGAGTCGGTCTGCACCTGTCCTGTGGAGATACTGAATTCTGAGTCATCCTAGAAGAGCCACTGCACTCAGAGCAGCCGGTAAGAACTCCATCTCACTCCCTAAGCCCCAGAGATACATCTGGGAGCCAGGGACATTAGGGCACAGCAGCTACCCAAACCCCGCCCCTCCGGAATTCCACTTCCCTTCTGCCCCTGCCTGGTCCTTTGGGCTGGGGCAGACACAGAATCGGTCTGCACCTGTCCTGTGGAGATACTGAATCCTGAGTCATCGAGGAGCCACTGCACTAAGAGCAGCCGAGGAGCCACTGCACTCACGAGCAGAAGGATTTCCAGATCCAAGAGGTGGCCTGAGTCCCAGGAGTTCTTCCACCCAGGAGATTAGGAGCATAAGACCACAGAGACATCTGGACTCTGAGGAGCTCTGCAACAAGCAAGATAACTGGAAATACAGACTCCAGTCTTACACAGTGAGGGCAGGTAACACTAGAGTTAACCAGATGGCGAAAGGCAAGCGCAAGAACATAAGCAACAGAAACCAAAGTTTCTTGGCATCATCAGTACCCAGTTCTCCCAATATAGCAAGCCCTGAACACCCCATCACACCTGAAAAGCAGGATTCAGAATTAAAATCACTTCTCATGATGATGATAGAGGATAATAAGAAGGGCATAAGTAACTCCCTTAAAGAAATACAGGAGAGTACAAGTAAACAGATAGAAGCCCTTAAAGAGGAATCACAGAAATCCCTTAAAGAAATGCAAGAAAACACAAAGAAGGAATTAAACAAAAACATTCAGGATCTGAAAATGGAAATAGAAACAATAAAGAAAGTTCAAAGGGAGACAACCATGGAGATAGAAAACCTAAGAAAGAAATCAGGAGTCATAGACGCAAGCATCACCAACCGAATACAAGAGATAGAAGAGAGAATCTCAAATGCAGAAGATACGGTGGAAAATATTGACACAGTTGTCAAAGAAAATGCAAAATGCAAAAAACTCCTAACTCAAAACATCCAGGAAATCCAGGACACAATGAGAAGACCAAACCTAAGGATAATAGGTATAGATGAGAATGAAGATTCCCAACTTAAAGGGCCAGTAAATATCTTCCACAAAATTATTGAGGAAAACTTCCCTAACCTGAAGAACAAGATGCCTATAAACATACAAGAAGCCTACAGAACACCAAATAGACTAGACCAGAAAAGAAATACCTCCCGTCACATAATAATCAAAACATCAGATGCACAAAACAAAGAAAAAATACTAAAAGCAGTAAGGGAAAAAGGTCAAGTAACATACAAAGGCAGACCTATAAGAATTACACCAGACTTCTCACCAGAGACTATCAAAGCCAGAAGAGCCTGGACTGACATCATACAGACCCTAAGAGAACACAATTGCCAGCCCAGATTACTATACCCAGCAAAACTCTCAATCACTATAGATGGTGAAACCAAGATATTCCATGACAAAACCAAATTTGCACAGTATCTTCTCACAAACCCAGCACTTCAAAGGATAATTGATGGAAAATGCCAACACAAGGAGGGAAACTACAACCTAGAAAAAGCAAGGAAGTAATCTTCCAACAACCCCAAAAGAAGATAACTATACAAACATAATTCTACCTCTAATAACAAAAATAACAGGAAGCCACAATCATTTTTCCTTAATATCTCTTAACATCAATGGTCTCAGTTCCCCAGTAAAAAGACACAGACTATCAGACTGGATACACAAACAAGACCCAGAATTTTGCTGCATACAGGAAACACACCTCAGTGACAAAGACAAACACTACCTCAGAATAAAAGGGTGGAAAACAATTTTCCAAGCCAATGGTCCCAAGAAACAAGCTGGAGTAGCCATTCTAATATCAAATAAAATCGACTTTCATCCAAAATTAATCAAAAAAGATAAGGAAGGACACTTCATACTCATCAAAGGAAAAATCTACCAAGGTGAACTCTCAATTCGAACATCTATGCTCCAAATGCAAGGGCACCTACATACATAAAAGAAACTTTACTAAAGCTCAAAACACACATTACACCTCACACAATAATAGTGGGGAATTTCAACACCCCACTT